TAGCTAAATATAAAACCTTCTAACTTTCATTTAAATGATTGCATCAAGACAACTATTTTGAGCATAAGTTTCATATTTTGACAATCAAATGTATAATGATTTCAGGTTTCCATACAATGAGCATAAACGAATTTCCGATTTCCATAAAAAAAAGTGAAGAATCTCAATGCTCACACTTGCATACATGTCGTTCAATTCTTTATATGTATACACATCTAGCATATCCAAAAAAAGAAATCAATGATATAGCTTTCCATGCGTGAACAGAGTGGCACTTATGTAAATGTCAAGGTTTAAGCGTTGGATACGTAAGTTCAAAGGAGTGGGTGGCATGTGTGTAAATCTCCCAAAGATAAATTTCACAGGTTAGTTTCACTATTGCTTTATCTTTTGCATCAAACTCTTCTAATAAGAAAGTGTGTCATTAAACATCACAAACAGAACTAGTGAAACATTAGCATGAGCATTCCTTGCTCTCCTTTTTTTTAAAAATAAAAAAGAAAACAAAAGGAAGTCAAATGAAATGGGGCAAAGAAAGAGAAATGAGAGTAAGATGAAGAGAAAAAAAAAGACACCTCGCTTTTTTGTTCAAGATAAACAGAGAAAATCAAACACCAAGCGAGCTAGGGAAGAATCAACCAAGAAGAAAAACCACCTGGAATATTGACAGCAACTCCCCTTTCTCCAGAATTTCTGCCAACCCAAAAGACCTCCCCAAATGGGGTTTATTTAGCCAGAGGAGAGGAGAAGAGCTTACCCAAACCTTTGGGGGGTGAGCTAAAACTTAAGGCAACGGGCGAGAAGCGACAAGAGGCGCAAGAGTGGGAGTGGCGAGCAAAAAAAGCCTGAGTGTGGGCAGGGAGTAGGTGGAAGCCTTAAGCATGGGGGAGGGGACCTCAGGCCGAAACTTTGCGAGGAGAGTGCTGCTCGGCGAGGAGGAGGTTCGGTCGGATTTCACGAAATGGAAGGGGCTGATTAGGGCTTGTTTCGCGACCGAGAGAAAGGGGAGCTGCGGGTGCGTGAGTTTGGGTTTAGGGATTTAGGTAAAATGATTTTTTTAAAATGTTTAACATTAAATTTTACAGTTCGCACACTATTCGCTCGTGGTGAAATCGACGTTTCACACGCGACGGCGCAGTATGTTTCATCATCTGATATCGTTCGAACAACCTCCTCAACAATTAGGTAAAAAAACGTGTCAAATTCGATTTTCTTCAAATTTTGGGCTCGCGATCGACCGTTTCAAAGTTTTATTTAAGTTTTAATTAATTATGCAACATATAAAGGCGTATGTGACGTGAATTGCAATATTTAACGTGTTGACCGTCTGAATTGCAAAATTTGTGCGTGTTGAGGTGCAACTTGTGCATAAGACAACCCTAGGGTTTAACAGTCCTAAAGGGACTTCTTTTGAGTTACTTCATATTGGTTTCATCCTCCTAAGTGCTTAAGGTCAATAACCACACATGCAGAACTTTAAAAGAGTAAATAAGTGGTTTGAACTTCTAAAATGAGGTGAGTCCCACAACTTCTAAAATGAGGTGGGTCCCACTACTAAGGCTCTAAGATAATCAAAGAGAGAATCCTAAGACTAGACCTTAAACCCTAAGAGGAAAACTTAACCTCACTAAAAATGAGGTCAACAATACTGATAACCTGATTACTGATAAGTATTCGTCTTTTTGGGATACAACAATTTGTTCTTTATCTTTATGACTCAGATGTGATTTGACGTATCATGATTCAACGTCATGATAATTCGGTTATTTTGTAGGCTCTGTATGTCGATGAGTATGTTGCCCATGTGGGGACCATAAGAGACTTACTCTCCGCCCTGTAGCTTAGCGGGAGCTTTGAAACATTAGAGTATTCTCGTGTGAAATAACTGTCATTTGATAGCCCTGTGCTAGTTGTCACTTTTAATGTAAGCAAAACTCTCTGGATCAAGAGTATTCTTGGGCAACCCCTAATATGTAATTAACCAAGTGTGATACATCCCCTTGGGAACACTATGAAACCCAGAACAAACAAACGCACCCGAATCTCTGGATATGGGTAATCAACATAAGTATTATTTCACGGATATTGGTCAAAGGTGCTTCCGCCCGATCTTGTTTGGATGGACATACTTGACATATTCTTTCAAGGTTTATCACAATTAGGCTCTCAATGTTTTCTTTCGATTGTCATCTTTGTTGTATATCTGTCTTTTTTGGTTCCTCTTATCTCTTGATCATTTTTACTATCTAGAAGAGAGATTTATTTGAAAAGGAAAATAAATGATGATGGACAAAATGACAACTCCTCAAACAATAAAAGGAGAAAATAAACAAAAAAGACCTCAAATCTGTACCTAGAAATTCACATCAAATTAACATAAATTTTGAGAACATGAAATGAAATAAAATTTCAGAAATTTGCAAAAAATTTAATTTTTACTTAAGAAATGAAATATTTAATTGTCGGTCTTTGGCTGCTTCGGGTAATACAAGACGCTGGCTCACAAAAATTTAATATAACACATGCTCCCCAAATTTAAACTTCTCCACATTATCTTCTTCCACTCAAACTTGGAGATAGAACTAGTCGCCCATACCTCTACCAGCTCTATCTGAAGAGTCACCACCTTCGTTCGAAGAGTTGCCATGTCGACCTGAAGGACCGTCAGCACTTCCTCGAGGTTTGTTATGGTAACCTCCCTCTACAGGCCAACTTCTTGAGCAAAGCAATTAACTGTTTTGTACATTCAGTAAGCCAACAATACTGGAGATCCTTGCCAATCGTCGGGCTTCCTTTTATGATCTTAAAACAAAACAGATGTTCATAAGCACCTACTCCATGGGCCGGAGAAGACGATCCTCTTATTGTCTCCTTAGTAGAGGGTTGGCCAACTCTCACTATCAATGAATCGATAATATACATGGTCTCATCTTCAAGAACAAATAAATGTCATCAAAAAGGGAATTGAACAAATCTGTTATCAAAGAAAACTAGGTTTTCTCATACAAATCATTCACTCCATTTAAATGATCAAAATCTCTTACCAAAAAGTGGACGAACAACCACCTGGCTAGCCTCACTAACTGAAAGAAAGGGAGCTACACCTTTGTGTGGTTGCACCTGGGTCTCTACGATTGCCTGATCCTGTTATTGAGTCAGTCGTTCATGGATCAGAGTTGGGACAAGCATGTCAACCCTGCTCTCTATCTCATGATGAAGCGGCATCGAGTCAGATGACTTAACCTTCTTCTCCACACTTTTCTTTCTCTTGGATCACTTGCTTGATCTGCTTCTCTCCCTTCGACCGATTCCCTCTTTCTGGCCTCTTTGAACAGACAAATTGATCTTCTCACTCCAGCTTCTTTGCTACTAACAGTCCAGTTTCTTCTTTATTACAGGTTGACTACTTTTTCTCCTCTGCTTGCGAAGTTTTTCTGTCGAAAAGCCGAAAGCCTTCATTATCGGGCAAATCCCATACCAAAAATAGTGCCGACATCACTATATGGCCGCCTCATTTTCAAATTTATTGCTACTCACTACAACTTTCTTATGTTAAGAAACAATTGAAGCGCATGAAAATCAAAAAGGGAGATGGAGAAGGCTGATCATGCTTTATTTATAGGGACTACAGACACATAAATCCAGAAAGTTCAATTATTAACATATATTTATTACACAATAAATAAGCTAATATTTGAATTTACTTCCTTCATTCTTATTGCAGGCTTCAATAAGTAAGAGAATTGTGCAATTGAATATGACTCGAGGAAATTCAACGGGTCTCTCTTTTGAACACCGAAGGACAGTGCATCGGGATAGTCAAAAGAAGGAAACACCAAATGTCAGTTCCTTTGGTGGGAACTATGAGCCAATGGAATGAAAACACAACTGAATGAAGAAATATAAGGCACCCGACCCAAGGGACAATCGTTCGTAATGAGCTCCCTCAGCTAATTCTGGAATTCTTAACAAAATTGGTCAAAGGGCACGCCACGGAGCTCCTTTTTGTTCCTTTGAAAAAACCACTTGTCCAATGAGAGCTGCCCGAAGATTTCGGTGATACATATTATGCCTAACGATCCAAATTCACAGTAACGACATGAGGACCTCCACTTAATATTCCATTCAGAGGGTTGACTGATGACCTCTCATCCAACCAAAGATATGTTGACTTCCTGAATGACAAAATTAACGAGCTATTAAATGTTCATCTTCAAGCGGTCATGAATATGAAATGGTGTCAATGTCAGTTATAAATACTAAAATGTCCTGGATTCAATTATAAATATGAAAAGACGTAATATTAACTTGTAATGTTCATATTAAAACATTGATATACATGTAAGTTTATTATACTTCTGTAACCCATAAATAGTTAGTCATTTCTTCAATAAAAGGACTATTGATTTTTTTGTCTCAAAACTTGTGTTAGTGTGCATTCTGTTATCTCTCTCAGTCTCTATTCCTCCCCCCTTCAAATGCTCTATATATTGGGTATGATCCACAAGACATATTTGAATTCAACATACCAATAATTCATAACTCATTATAAATATTTTTAATTATATATTTTTATTAATTTAAAAAACTAGGTCCTGCACAAGTTCGTTCTAGTTTGAGCCATTTCGCTAAGTCCAGGCAAGTTAAAGAAGAGCTCCTCTCTCCAAGTTTTGATCACGTGCCTTGCTTTCACTGGTAAATCAACAGTTTCTTATTAATAGCCATTAGGAGGTGTTTGATATGATACTTTTAAGAAGATTTACGCTAAATTTAACCTAAATCCAATCAAACAACAATAAATAGATTAGATAAATCTGACATTAAGTTAAATCTGATTTTTTCTTGTTTCGTTTATTGGATTTACTAAATTCACGTTTAATAAATCTGAATTTATCAAATTTACCAAAGGTCTGGTTGGATATGAATAAGAGAAATAATCTCTTATTTAAAAAATTATAGTATATATTCTGATATATATATATATATTGGCACCGCGAAGTGCACCAAACCGGCCCTAAATCCTTTTAGCCTCCATCTCGGAGATTCGACTCTAGGTTTACAGCTTCTACAGTTTTCGCTTTCCCGTTTTCTACGTTCGCCACATCGGCTTCAGTCGGCGATTATTACATAGTTCCCGAACCCGGCGTATTGAGCTCATCAAGGAAACCCTAATATTATCAGTTTCGATCCCCTCAGAGCAGCATTCTAAGGAATCAGCGCTGACAGGTATATTTTTTACGCCCCGCAGCACTTCCCTAGGCTTTATGCGTTTCTACAAATTTTGACAAGTTTTATTTTGCCCTAGGCTGTAATGAGCGCTGGAATAATTATCCTTTTGTCTTCCGTTTACTCTGCTTTTTTCTAGATGGGCAAGGGAGTTCGTGGCAGGGATAGGCCGTATCCTGAGTTCTCGCCCCGATATGGTGAAAGAGAACGACGAAGTGGCTGGGGCGTAGCTCCTCCTTCACGGAAGCTCTGGGTGGGGAACTTGAGCTCTCATATTACTGAAAACATTCTATCGGAGCAGTTCCTTAGGTTTGGCGACATTGAAAGCATAGCTTATTTGCCGGGCAGGAGCTATGCATATGTCAACTTTAAAAAGGAGGAGGATGCTGTGCTTGCAGTGAGAGCACTTCATGGGTCAAATATTGCAGGGATGCCTCTTAGAATCGAGTTTGCAAAGGGGGTTAGTCTTTTGTTGATTTTTGTCCGTTCTCTGTTTTTTTATGTCATTTTCAATGTACGTTTATCAAGTTGTTTATTGCACTACCAACAAGCAGAAATCTCATTATAATAAGTTGGAATGATATCAAAATGCTAAGGGCCAATCCAAGCAGCGAACATTTAATAATTGAAACACAAAAAAGAGTACAGTTACCCATATAAGACATGCTTTCAGCAAGCATTATGGTAAAAAATATGCAGTAATATTTTCCATGATTTCATGAATTGATCCATCTTCTCTTATATGAAGGGTGGTTTCCTCAAATAAAATTTGTTTCAGTGGCAAATATGCTGCTGATGCCACCAAATTCTATGATATCTAATTGATGTGAAAGAGCAAAGTTAAAATGACACAAAATTCTTGATTAAAATTTGTAATTAAGAACTCTATTTCATCAAATTTGCCAAAATTAATACAGGCGTTAACTTGAATAACAAATTATCATGACAATTGAAAAAGCATGATACAAAAGGTCAAATTTTGTCAGGAAGATTACTCTAATAAGAGATTATCATGACAATTGAAAAAGCATGATACACAAAGTCAAAATTTGTCAAGAAGAAATAAAATAAAAACCAACTTCATATTCCAGCTGTTAAATATAACCTTCACAGTCTCCTTCATACAATAGTGTGTGTTAATCTAATTTTTCCTTAATTTAATTGTCACTTATCATCCTTGTATTTCTATGCTCCTAGAAAGATTTTTCTAGACCTGGCTGCATGGCAATTTAAGAGAATGAAATACTGATATGTATGTATTCATGGATCCTTGAAATTGGAAAGCTGGTTTGTTTTATGTAACTTTACTCTGCAGCATCTAATATCCATGGTGTTGCTACCTAATGCGGCATATAACTGCAGATATGTGCCTATTCTTTATAGTTTCCGGATATTTTTTGTGCTCACAGCTGTCATTGGGTGACAACAGCATAGTCATGGCGGATTAAAAATTGTTTTTCCATTCCAGACACTTAATACTGTTAATTTATGACGGACAAGTCAATTAAATTAATTGATGCATTGTTTGCATCCATGTACTGAAATCGGTGCAATTCACAATAAATTGGACAATGATGGCGTATGCCAGGCTATGCAGATCATTACTATATTAAAATCGCTAATAAATTTTGGTGTTGATGATTTAATAACTTCATTAGGTCTTAAAGTTGAAAAAAATAATTATATTTCCCAGCTCCCTCTTTGGTCGTCAATTATGTCTTCAATTGGTTATTGAACTGGATACTGAAAGTAGGCATATCTTTAAATTATAAGCCTAAATGAAGTGACTCCTCCTAGCTGATTGAAAACCCTGATTTCTTTGATGAGGCTTAACAGGACAAATTGTTCTTCATCATGATGTGATTGGGCACCTGTGTTTTGTCTTTGGATTTAATCAAAGGACTGAAAGGTCATCGATGTTTAAGGACTGGAAAGACATTGAAGAAAGGCCTGATAAATATGTACATGGCTAATTTGTTTAACTGTGGAACAAACTTAGATTATTAGGTTGATGATGAATGCAGTTGTGGTTATCACTAACCAAATGAACAGATGATTAACAAAAGAAAGCCCATTGAACTAACTTTGCTGACTGGCTTTGTGTGCATATATATATACATATATACATGTATATCAACCTTGTAAAATTTAGAATTTTAAAAATTCCAGATAAATATTTTGCTTATTAAGTTTAAATTCAATTTCCAGGGTTAACATTCCGTAAGAAAACAAGAAGGATAGCCATGATCTGGGAATTGTGTGGTTCATTTTATTCTTCTGATCATTAGCTCATCTGCAACACTTTTTGGCTTTCTAGTATTAATAAAATGAACATCTTTATAAGCTATTTATAACTCATGTATAACCATTTTGCTGTTTGTTCTTATAGTTTCTTACCCATTATAGCATTTTGGTCCATTACCTATCATAAACCTGGATTTCGGAACATAAGCTCTTTGAAACTGAGTATATTATTTCTCTCTGTTGGATTGATGTGGATATTTGTTACAAGCTTGAGAATGCTTAATTGTATGGGCATTCAATCACTCACTCCCTGAACTGTCCTTCTTGAGTGGGACTAGGAGTTGAGTGATTAGTAGGCTACCTTATACCTTCTCTCTGTTATAACCTATTCTTTCAAATGATTCCAGATTGCTGCTCCAGTTCTATTCATTATGTGATTGTCAATACTCACCTCCGACAGCTTACCATTGTAAAACTAGTTTAAATTGTAGAGAAGATTATAAAACTTGGAAATCATGGGGTACTCAATGGCAGAAAGGCCTAAACTTGATAAAACTGAGATGTGATCCTTTGATTAAAGTTATGATAGTTTCTTGTCATAGAATTTTCTTGAAGATCTATTTTGGAATCATTTGACTGAACATCAAATTGGATAATAGAAATAGCCTAAAATATGCGTCTAAATGATGAATGGTAAAATAAATTCAAGAACAAAACTAAATGGCTTTGAAAATCTTGATACCAATCTGCAATAATGGGCTAAGCAGTAGGATAAAAATATAAAATGCCTTCTCAGATTAGATCCTTTGTTTCTTCATGCCTAATGCGGGAGAGAACATTTTTCAGTATAAATAAGATAACGTTACAATACATAAAAGAATGTTGAAAAAACCGATTTTTATGTAACGTTGCCGAGGAAGATACTTCACATGCGAAGACAGTTAAATGGATGCATGCTTAACTTGTTTATTTTAATTTAAATAGGGCATTTTATAAGTTTTGACATTTATAGATATGATCTCTTCCATTCCTCTTCTTTTATGCGAATGCAAACTACTTCATACTACATCATATTATGGAGCAACCAGTTTTTGGAAAGAAGAAAAGTAAAAATACAAAATGAAAAAAAGGTAAAAAAAAATTAAATCATGATATAATGTTAACAAGGCAATGATATGGTGCAACCAGTTTTTGGAAAAGAAGAAAAGGAAAAATACAAAAAAGGTATAAAAAAAAACCAAAACATGATATAATATTGACAAGCAATGATATCATTATTCCAATTTCCGCTAATACTTTTATTTTTGTTAAGTTTGTCGGCATTATCTAAATTTTGATATATAGTAATTCACTTTTTAGCTTTAAGAACCTGATAAAAACTAAATGAAATTCATGATTTTGATGGTTAGTTACCTTCATTTTGAATTTAATATTTCTGAATCAATCACTTTGCGATGCAATTGTAATGTTGCATGCATCAATTCTCGATGCCCATTCGACATTAGCAGGAGCCTCATTATTTGGATATGCCATTTATAAATTCACATATCTAATAATCTATAAAATGATAAAGGGTTTCTTAAAGAAGTTATTTTAAAAATGTCTATAATTTACATTAAAGATTGCTCTGGGAACCATATCATCAATTCATTTAATCAACTCATAGAAATGTTATTTTCCTTTTTCATCAATTTTTTTTCTTAATTCTCTATTTAGTTTCTTTATTTGGTCTAGAAATTATGGACAATTATTGTATGAAAAAGGGCATAAGAACATTTCTTGTTCATGATTTAGATGTATTTTTGACAATTTGTTATAATACAAAAACATAGTCTTGTGATGGGTACAATCTTCCAACAGCTTCTTACTGCTTTGCGGTAAGTGTTTACCTCTCAACTTATCCACTGATTTTTGGCCAGCAGAATCTTTAAGGTGGAAAAATCCGTGAACATATTTTTGAAGCGAAACTAATCTTTATGAACTTTCAAATGTATACTATACAGTTATTTTCCTTCAAATTTTCCCTAGTACCCGGATGCTAATTGTACAATTGAAGATAGAAAAGTTCGATCATATTATTGATCCATAATCATATGATCTTAATGCTCTCAATATTTGGAATTCCTACCCATCAAATAACCAGGCTTCCTGCATTCTGAAGCTGAAGTTATTTTCTGATTTCCATGTACTTGCTACTGAACGGCAAATTATAGTGCTATACAGTAAAGAGTTGGGCTTTATCCGTTTGCCAGGATAATTGCTAGCTGTTCACTGTAAATATGCAAGCTTTCCTGAACTTGATCAATTTCTTTTTTATGATCCGTGAATTGCTTGCTGCTTAGGTTATGCAATTTGCATTCATGAGCTCTGGTAATAAATGGGCCTTCTAGGCTGAATATTTAAGTAAGCAAAAATAACATGCCTGTGCATTAAGAAACTTGGAAGTTAGGATTAATATAACCTAATATTATAAGCCATGCAAAGGATGAAATACGGCTTCATATTTTTATATTTTGGACCTCTTTTTTGTGCAATAAATCTAAAAAGCCCTACTTTTACTGTTCAAAGATGCTTTTAATTCTCACCAAAAGATGGTGAGATGAGTTATAATCACCTTCACAACTTCCACTGTAAATTTTAGTAACAGGATATACTTCATCTGTGATGATTATAATTCATAAGACATGCATACATCAGCTTTATGGATTTTTCTACCCAGATGTAAATGTTATAAAAGATCTCTAATGAAAATAATAACTGAAATGATACGTACAATTTCACAATGTGCTTGCGATTTTTCGAGGCCTTGTGGAAGCTTGTTTGTTGAGTTTCAGGCCACTTCCTCTTTAAAGAATAACTGAGAGTCTGTGCTCTTTACTTGGGATTTTACAAATTTTCTATCAAATAAAGTTATAATGGACTGCGCAGTTCACTAAAGTGCTTATATACTATGCAGTTCAGTTTTTCAGATGCCACTGTTTTAAGATTAAACTTTTTTTTTCAATATAATAATAGGAAACACAGCCACAATGAGTGCTTCGACCAAATTTGGGGAATATCTTGACCAAGTTTTATCATTTCCTTTTGGCAAAGCAGAGAAGTTATAGCTGTCAATGATGAGTGCTTATGTGAAAGATGATTTGTCTTTGGAAATGCTGATAAAAATGAATGCCTGTACCCACTCTAACCAGAATACTGGGTCATGTTGGCATTTAC